AAATTCAAATACAATGATTGGTTCGATATAATAATCAGTGGTAATGGTAGTTTTCATAGACTTCTAGTAATTACTGGGTAAATGTATGCGAAGAGATCTAAAATATAAAAAATGAAGCGCTAATGTTTTGATGGTTAATAAAACTGAGATCAGAATGAATTTTATCATAACAAACTAATTTCATCGTTCTGCGATATATTTCGTCCAATTCCAGCTGGTTTGACTAATTTTCATGAATAAATCAAGGATAATTCTAATCCCACAAAATAATTTCTAAGTAGTAGATAAAGGCAAGGTTTAAAACTACCTCAAAAGAAAGCAAAGATCAAAACGTGGCAAAAATATTCCCTAAATTTGATAAAAGTAAGGTTTTCCAAAAACTATTCCATTGAAATTAAACAAAGTCTTAGCATAAAGATTTATCAAAGTAACATTTTGGTGGATTAATTGTGACATCCAAATACGAATGATAAACTAACACCTTCGTGTTTTTGATCTTTTTTATAACTCGTACTGCAATTAATTAATTCAAAAAATTTGAAAGCAATTGATTTTAAATTAAAAGTTATTCAGAATTAAAGATAAAAAATTAAGTTTACTGCTGTATACATGGGGATAATAACCTACATTAATGTCTCGATTTTAATATCACATGATTTGTTGAAAAAAACTTTCTATAAATCGCCTTTTTTTTTTTACCTAAATATTTACTTTTAGGCTAGGAAGAAATGGAAATAAGGGTGAAACCACCCACTACTGTAACTATCTCTCAATTCACATTTCAGTTTACCCGTCCACCTATTTTACTTTCGTGCAAAAACTGTTCTTCATACACGACTTCCTTTCGAAAAACCTGTTAACCCGATTTTGTATCGAAACCAGGTTAACAATATAGTTGCGGGGCAAAACCCTAAACCCATTTTGGCAAAAGTCGAAACTTTTCAGAAATTATTTCGACAGTTTCGATGGGTTTCGATGGGTTTCGACAGTTTCGATGGGTTTCGACGGGTTTCGATGGGTCTCGAAAGTATCGCGAATTTGACGGTTTAACAGGTTTTATTATAATACAATGTAGAATATAAAAACGATTTTTGATTTTTTTGCTTTTTATTTTAAATTAGAACAAAGTTTTCGAAATAATACCTATTTATCGAGCAGGTTTTAAATTGGAGAACTGATACTTGTTGAAGAATTAGAAAAAATTACTTTATGAAGAAGATGATGATAGAGGTTGGAACCGGGTTTATTTTTATATCCGGATTTATTTAAATTTAAAAATCGGATCCGGCAGATCAAAATTTTTTTCAAAGACCTGTTTATGTCTATTTGTCGTTGAATTTTTACTATTTTAATTAAGTTATCTAAATCATTTTTTAAAGCTTAATAAATTATACACCCTGCGGATATCTAAGTTTAAATCAGAATGTCTAATCCGGTTCCAACCTTTAGATGATTTTTCAAATGAAAGTTTATGAATGAAGTAGAAGAAAATAAGAATATTGCCATGAGTTTAAATGAAGAAAATATGGAAAATAAATAACTGGACTTGATGATCAATATGTAAAATTTTTGATTTTTTTTTTTTTTTTATCTATAAATAAAGTGATCTTTGCTATATACGACTTGCTCACTCGTTATACGAAAATAATAAATTTTTAAATTCAAAAATTTGTATTTTATTATCAGAAGGTTTCGATGGGTTTTGTCATCCGTCGAAACTTTTGCCACCCGTCGAAACTTTCGCAATTTTGCCTTTAATAAAAATATTTGGCAAAACGTTTCGACGGGTTTCGATTTCGATGCCTGTCGAAACCTCCGGGTTTTGCCCTGCAACTTTAGTTAACAAACAACAATTAAATCTAACTAAGGCAATTTACTTAAAACGATTCTTTGTGTAGTTGGTTAGTCAGTCTATATGGATACACGATAAAGTTTTAAAGTGTAGCATGAAATTTTATTATGGTAAGATTTCGGGCGTCTCTTCTCAAGACTCGTCAATCTTATTCTTTGAAGGTGTGAAGATGGAATTTTATTAACTCAAGATTTCGGACGTCTTTTCTTAAGACTCGTTAACCTTATTCTTTGAACAAAGCGGATTTTCGGGGTTTATATGCAAAATTTCTAAATACTAATTTAAAATAAATATATCAAATATATCAAACATAATAACGAATATATCAAAAATAACAATTACAATAAATTTTAATTATTTTAACACATATAATTGATATAATTAATATAAATGACATTTTTGACATCATTATTTTCAATAGCTATTGCGCCATTCGTAAATGTCAATCTCTTGTAACACCGGTTGGACAGGATCATCCGTTTTGTTTCTTTACAGAAAAAGTTTGCAGATATTTCATTTTCACGCTTGGGTTTGTGGGTTTAAACTTGGAAATTTTTTTAAAGTAAAGGGAAAATTTCCAATCAAAAAGATTTTCTTGAAGAACGTCCCATATTCAAATTTACAGTAAATTAATATGATAATCTTCTATTGAGATTTTTTGAAATGCAAATATGAAGAAAGAAATTGATGATGAAGATTGGAACAATATCAAAGGTAATTATCATCCAACACATCAGTTTATATAACAAGGAAAATTTCCAAATCTATTAACGAATATTTTCATTTTTAAACAAATGCATCGTTTCACTCATGCGGTACTGTTAAAAGGTACCTGAGTCCCAAAGAGAATGAGTTAATCATCGACTTCAAGTTTATGAAACAAAAGATATTCGAGTTGTCGATACTATTACATTGATATAATTCCTCCCGATAAACGATAATTTTGGCCCAAAGATCGTTCAGGATAAATTCGATTCGCTTAGGATGGTAGGCTGTTAGTGGCGCCAGGCTGTCCTAATTATTTTTTTAATAAATCCAACGGGTTTCTTTTAGGATTTTAGCAGAGTTCTTTTTCTTTGAAATATACACACCATTCTTTCCCTTGCGATATCGTAACATTGTAACTTCGTTAAATTTTAATTTCCTTATTTGTTTTTTTATTTTTCAAATTTATTATTTTTCGTAGCTTTAATTAATTAATTTATTTGAGTTATAAAATTGAATTGCGAATTTCTAGAGCGCCGATTTTGAGACAACACTGATTCATCTTTATATTACATCATAATTGTTTGATTGCCTATTAATAAAATCTTCTGTTACCATTTACAATTGTTTATAAATATAAACGTATAGAACTGAAAATGGTAATAACAATGCTCTGCTGCTAATGGTTTGCATGGAGATAATTTATTATAGGGAATATTTAACCTAGACTCCGGGTTTAGGTTATTATCCTAGACCCCATGTATAAATAAATATTTTTTAAAGTATTTATCACGTGATAAGTACAGTTGCGGTCTAGGATAATATCCTGAACCCGGGTACATTTTAAGGATGCCTTTATTATATAGTTTATCGATATCACGTGTTGATGTATCACGAAGGTAAACTTGATACTCGATGATTTTTTTTTTTATAAAGTAGTTCAAAATGATGTTAATTACAATATAATAAAATTTAAAACTAATATATTTTTTCGATTATCTTTAGTAAATCATTATTCATTATTCAAAAGCATTTACTGTATGTATTACCAGTATCAATTTGTTTCAGTAGTCATACTAATTGTTTGATCATTCCAAATTGCTAACTAGAACTTTAATTCTTAATAACAATAAATTGAAAATATTTATTAGATATTACTTCTCATGATGAAATCCTTAATAACTAAAGAAATTTTATGTAAGCATTGTTTAAATTGCAGTACGAGCTTCTGATGATGACAGATATATTCGACTCGCTTTATATGATTGGGAGGCTGTATATAAAACATATGTAATTTTTTAAAAATGTGTAATTTTTGAAATTTTTGGAAATGCATTTATTTGCTTTTTCATTCCATCACTTTGTTTGGATACAGGAACTAATTTCATAAAATCACCATCATTAGAGAGAAAGTTTACTTTCCTAAAATAATTCTTAAGTTTAATTTCGTAAGGAAAAATGAATTTTGTCGGTTCTTATAAATGAAATTGATTTTGCAATAATATAAGCATAGGTTACACAAAAATGATTGGCATCTGAAAATAGTAAGAAATCGACACATATATATGTAACTGATCACTTCGAATCAAACTCATTATCTCTTACAAAAAAAGAAGAGACGAACATTAACGACATTTATAAAGCAACGTACTATTAAAGACAAACTTTTACTTTAACCAAGTTGAAGAAGTTATACTTACAAAAGAAAAGGAGAAACAACATTAAATGTCGTTAAAAAATTATTTATTATACAGTAATTGTATTAATGCGCGGATTGTTGATGTGACCAAAACTTAAAACAAATTATATTTATCGGAGTTTCCGTCCTTTCTGCAAAGCGCCCATTAGGTTGCGCAAACTTTTAATAAATCATTTTGAAAACAATTTTTTGGTTGTTTATCTGATTTGCAAATACAATCGCATTTAGTAAATTTTCAAACCTCCTAAAATTGGGTTTATAATAACCTTATTTTGTTTTTTGATTAAAAATTTTGTGCGTTGCAAAAAAAAAAAAAAATCTCAGAAGCAGATGAGATGTTAAATAAATATTACATAACTTTTGTATATCAGTTGATCGACATAAGCAGAACCTAAATGGGACTGAGGGCGTTAATTTGAAAAAACGGGAAATCCGTAATTTCTTTTTTAGTTTTTTTTTGAGCTGTTTGTGCGAATGACCAAGAAAAAAAAAAACCAGCCCATTCACATGATTCGTGGTGGTCAGGAGAAAAAAAAGTCATTATTCATTAACAATTTTTTAAACGAAATAATAATTGTCACGTTATTTCTTAAGATATTAATAATGATAACTCATACATTATTTTTATTTAAATACTATTTTATATAATACAATATATATTTAATAATAATAAAATAATTAATGGATATCCTCCAAGTTCTCCTGCAATGTCCGGCAACAAATCCTAACGCTAAATCCCTAAGTTTATTCAACTCTAGATACTTTGTTAATATAGATACTCTGTTTCTTTGCAATAAAATCATAAATAAAACCGATTACATCTATTAATAATATTACAGATCCGGTAATCAAAGCTGATAAAGCAAATATATTATATCCTGTATTAGGAGATACGACATATATTATCTATAAAAGTAGAATAAATTTAATACATAATAAAAATGAAAGTTACGGGAAAAATCCCACCTCTAAAATCTCACCTGAATTATTAGTTGCGGTAAGTCTTCAATAAATATATTCGAAAAACCACCCCAAAATATCCAACGTATTGCTTTTGAAGAAAATGGAGCAGAAAACAATTTATATCCTGCATAGTTAGAATCAAGCAAATGAAGTAATTCAATATTTCCCGAACTAAATAATGTGATTATCGCGGCTAATTTCGAATTCTCTCTAAACCAATCAGAAAATTTAGGATTCTTTCTTGTCTCAAATATGAATATGTAAAAAGCTAAGCATGTATTTATAAGAATTGGACAAATGATAAACACAATGCTACAAAAAAAATAGTTAAATTAATAATATTTCATTATAATTTGAATGATTAATATTATTTATTACCTTGGAATTAATAACTTTTGCAAATATTCTTCATTTGTTACAATAAATGAAATATCGTTTACAATATCGAGAATAATAAGAGCAGCTTTAAATACAATCGTATTGCATCCCTGTGAAAAGTTTAAGTAAAGAATTTAGTTTTTTTACAAATTCGTAACGATCTACATCAAAACAAAACGTACCATTCTATTTTTATATCGACCAAAAAAATACAAGTTAATCAACAGGAAAGCGAGTGATATGATAAGTCCTATAGTTATTGGATCAAAGTAGCTTTGCACAATCGTTTTAATCTCCTCCCATCGATTACCTAAATACAAGCGATTGGGAATTATATATTATTATTAAGTTAAAAGGAAAGGATTTATATAAAATTAATATTTACTTGTTGGTTCAAATCCAAATTTTTTATCGATAAACTGTGTACTATTATAAAAATCCAAAGCTGTCATAAAGTCATTAACTTCAAGTAATTTAACAAAATCCACAAAGACTTCTTTTGAACTTTTTTTGTTAAAATTATTTTCATTTGGGTGATTTATTTTAAATGCAATAAAAAGTGCATTTACTTTATATCTAAAAAAATACTTTAGATAAGTGATCCTTTGGCCATCAACAGGAATACTTTTTGCAATATCTATTCTCATTTGTTCGATGAAATTTTCTTTTTCAACATCATTCAAATTCTTAAAATGGTTTGTACCCTTAACGTTTAAACGTATGGATCCAGTGAATTCTAAAAGCGGATATAAAAAATATAAAAATTTTAATTCATTATTTCACGTGACCGACAAGATGAGATGATTTTCGGCCAATGTATCAAGTGATGCAAATTTAATTTTATTTTTAATCCTTTTCGTTACAAGAGGGATGTT